AAAAACTGTGATCTTGTAACATAGTAATAATTGTCTGCAGATCCTTTAGGGCCCAGTTCTTAGAGGAAGATTGGATCAAAATATCATCTAACTAACATTGAACCCGAATGGGAATGGTCCTCAACCAGGCTGCCAGGGTTGCTAAGATTTTGGTGAACACCCTGGGTGCAGAGGACAGTCCAAAGGGCATAGGAAATGTTTACCTTGGTAAGTGAAACGTAAATATTGTCTGTGTGATTGGCAAATTCTGATATGAAGATAAGCTTCAGTTAGATCTATAGAATTTGAGGAATAAGCCCTGTCTAATTGTCCTCAACACCCAAGCGTCGGATGTGGTAGTCTCCCACTGGGCAGCAAAATGGGATAATCTGCCCCCAATGGGAGGACTACTGCTACATTTAGTGGGAGCGCCTGAAAAAGCAACTTCCTCCCCCACGAAAGGGCCACTTGCCTGAGAACTGTGGTCTATCTCGGGCAGCTCTGTCCTGGGGACGTTCCTGCCGGTTGTAGGGCTGTCTCTGAGACCCTTGAGTCCCGGAACTGCCCTCTCCTCTGTAAGAGGACCTGCGGTTATAAGGAGCAGCCCTGAAACTGGAGCATCTTGTTAGAGAAGGCAGATACTTCTCGTTATCCCTGGTTTCCATCAGGTGGGGCTCCAGGACTTCGCCCAACAACTTGTCCCCTTTTATAGGTGAAGAGGCCACTTTTCACTTTCGACGCCCATCTGCTTGCCAACTCTTGAATCAAAACATTTGATGGGCAGCAATGGACGTGGCGATGGCCTTAGAGACAAACCTGGCGCTATTCAGAGTTGCATCTGCGGTGAATTCTGCAGCAGCGACCAATTTATGAATATCTTGATGACTTCTCACATCATAGGCTGGAACCCTGTCCTGTAATTGGCGAAGCCACCTTAGAGAAGATCTCATGAAGAAGGAAGTGGCAGAAGCTGCCTTAACTGCCCATGCAGCTGCCAGGTGAGTGCGTTGGAAGGACTGTTCAATCCTCTTGTCCTCAGCTTTTAGTGCCTCCTCTGGGTCTGCAGGATTGGAGGAGGCAGAAATCATAGCAGCTACAGGTGCATCTACCGTAGGTACTTGTAAGGAACTGGTGAGCTCAGGTCCCATAGTGAAGAAGCGCCTCTCATTGGCAGATAACATTGTGGATGTACCTGGGGCTTCCATCTGTTTATGAATAACGTTCAGGAATAATCTAGGGACAGGAATCATTTCTGGTCTAACTGCAGGTTCATCGAAAAGTTGGTCAGGTGGAACCGTGCCATCCCCTTCTACTTCTCCAACATCAGCCCCAGGTCCCAACTTCGCTGTTTTCTTGGCTTTAAATAATAATGCTCTAAACTTCTGAGCATCCAAAATGCCAGTAAAGGATGGCCTCTCTGGGACCATATCTTCATCCTCTGAGAAATCAGACTCCTTTTTCTCTTCCTCATAAGAAATGCTAGGTAATGAAGGGACAGGAGAGTCCCTGTCCCTAAAGGCAGGATTGGGCTTCTACTGGTTCTGTCCATCTCTGTAGAACCAGTTGCTCTGAAGAGCAGCAGACAGAGAGCATACATAGAACCGGTTCTATGTCTGCTGCTCTTTTGGCCTGCCCGCCCGCCCGGGCTATTACCTGACCTTTATTTCCTGCTTTTTCAACTGCAGCTGCTTTGCATGACACAGCTGCGGTTGAAAGAACAGGAAAAAAGTGCTTTTTCAACCGCTGCACACCTGCGCGCAGCGCTGCTCAGCTGTACAGGCAGCTAGCTGACGATGATATACATGCGTGCAAAATGTAAAATCACCGAACTGATAGTTACACCGGTCAGATCCCACCCCTGCCTAAAGGAGCAGTTTTCCCTATCATGAAAAGACCTCTCTGGATCTGAATGGTCTGAGGCCTCAGAGATTGGTCTCCTGATAGCTTGGAGAGCCTCTACAACTCTCCTTCTTATAGCTTTTGAAATGATGGCTTCCAGATGCGCTCGTACAGCCTCATCTTCTGTGTTGGATGCCTCAGTTACAGCTCTAGCCCTTTTAGGAGGTGGAGGAAGAGACTCCTCCATGACTATGGAATCACCTTCATCCTTCCATGTTCTCCCAAGGGAGTTGGATCCCCAATAGCAGAGGAATTATCAGGAGACCATATAAGAGGGTGAGAAGTACCAGCGGAAGTAGAAGGCACTACTTCCAGATGCAAAACAGGGGGTTGTTCAGACGGGCCTGAATCATCAGGGGGAGGTGAACTCCTGCCCTTCCCCCCAGCCACATGGTGGCATTTCTCCACCCTTTTTCCAGATGCCTTTTGTTCCTTCTAGGCCTCTGGTTCTTCTCTGGAAGGTGCTTTATGCTCAGGGGCCTTCCTCTTCTGTCTGCCCCTGGATCTGCCACTGGAAGTGGAAGGGCTGGGTTCCCTTTATTGCTCTTTATCTGTCATCCCACCTGGAGAATTAGCTAAGGTACAAGAAAGAGCCAGAGGAAGAATGGAACCTGAGGAGTTATTAATCCAAGCACAAACAATTAATACATTAAGGCCGGATCCAAATTTAAGAATTGTTCTCCTAACCGGGCAAACTGGCTAAGCAAGCCTAGAAAGGCTATTGCTGGGATGCAGCCACACCCTGCCGGTCACAAACCAGATCTGGAACCTGCAAGCAGGTCAGGAGGCACCCACGTGATTTCCTCAGTGCTGGAGCTGGAAACGGAGCACTGGCACTGTGGTCGATAGCGCCCTCAGCTGGAGGGCTATCTTTCCTCCTTTGCTGTCTCCCACAGCTGGGACTGGGCCGATGCCCATCTAGCGGCTGCTTTGCACTGCTGCAAAGCCCTCCTCAGCTGGCTGCTCTCCAAGCTGCTGCTGCAGGCTGCTGCGCTGTGCATTTTGCAGCCAAGGCAATCCCCTCGTTGCTCCGGAAAATGAAAGAGAAACTGCAAGCGGTTTGTGTTGCTGCTGCGCCGCCGCACCAGTCAGCTGTTGGGCCTTATCGGGCCGATCGCCTGGAGCCACCCCCATGTGGTCCTGGCTCCGTGCGCTGGGTCGGGAGCCCTTAGCTCAATCCCAAGCCCTGGGAGCCAAATAAACCCCACTCACTTGGAACTAGCTGTTTTCAAGCCTCTGAAGCACTTTTAAAACTTTTTGTCCTTTGCTACCAGGCTCCACGTGTAATTAGAGTGGAGCCCTGCAACACACATCTGTCCTGGCTAAGACTGAGTAGAGAACTGGGGAGTGGCCACAGCAAGGGGCGGACCTTGAATTTTGGAGCAGACTCAGTCCAAATGGCATAAGCTGATATTACTCATCCTATCTGGACTCACCTAACCACAGATAGGAAAATCCAAAAGTTGCTCTCAGATGTTCTCTAAGTGGCACTGATGTTACCTAGTTAGGTAATTAAATATCTGCAAACAAACAATCAAGCTCACAGAGCACCAAGTATTCCATAGTTCAACCCTGAATTATAGATATTGTCATCCATTGGAATATATCTTTCCTAAAACTTGAACATACTTTACACTGGAAAAACAATGGCTTTTAATACTTAGAAATTTTGTTTGGAATTCAGTCCCAGAGACACAATTTTTTAAAACTCCATGTAAATATGTTATAAACCTCCCAGACACCCATTTGGTACTACAAACCAGAATTGAAGAAAATTGAGAAATTCGTTAACAAGGATCCAACACGAAGAATTATTTAATGTAGAAATTTCACATTAACAGATAGGGCAACATTAAAAAAAAAAGTATTATTTACAGTATTACATTGCATTGGTAAGTGAAAGTTCTCCATAGCACAGATGAAGTTTAAAATAAAATGTAACAGTTCTTGAAGGCAATTATTCTAGATTTATTCTAGAATTGCCAATTCTAAGATCAAAGATCTGAATTACTAATGGGCTTAATATTTTAAGCATTTAGGCAATGCTTTTTGGGGCAGTCCCAAATAGTGAATTCCTTGTGAGTGATAGAGCAGTTCATATATCACACTAACTAATAAACTGCACATTCACTTCTCCTCCTGCACAGCATGCTTAGTTATGTCATGGCTTGTACAGGACTACACTTTGCAGTTATATCTGAACTAATTAGGTACAGTTTGCATTTTTCCCTCCAAAAGAGTTTGCAATTCTGATATGGAGGGGAAGATACCAACTAGACTTTGCCAGTTTAAATGCAAACAGTTACAAAAATGGGTTATAGTTAAGTATAAGAACACAATACCAAATAATGGCTTGGTATTACATAAAATATGAGAGTGATTTGTCTATGGTGCACAAGAAAGCTTCGCTTTCAAGATTTGAATGGAATTTTGGACATCTTCCTGTCAGATTCTTCTCAGTGTAGTAAAACATGACCAAATGAAGGTAAGAATGAGAACTTCAAGAGTGTTTCTCTCTACTGTTTTCCCTACTTCAGTTGTTTTTGCATACTCTCAACCTTACCTATGACTTCACAATGTTAGCAACTGTTTTATTGTTTGGCTCAAATTATTGACAAGTAGATTTGTGGGTATTTGTAAACTGCTAGAGAACACCTTGTATATATCAGATTTAGAATCCTACTCCTTTAAAAGAGGAGGAAAATATCAGTCCTTATATTTAAGGAACCCAAATAGCCTCCCAATCCTTAAAAAATCAAACCAGGCTTTGTTCCATATTGCTTCACTTTTTTGGAAAAAATAACCTATTGAAATTTAAAAACAAAATAAAATCTCATCATGAAACAAAAGACAACATATGGACTTTTCTCTGGGGAGTAATGAAACTCATGTTATAAATCTTTCGGACAGCAATGTGTTTTCTGGGAAGATGGCAAAAATGTTCACCTAGCTCAGTGCCGATTCCTGATTCTTCAAGAGCAGGGAGAAACTTAGTAGTTTCAAGCAGCTGCCAATATTGCTGTAGTCTTTTTTTTTTTTACTCAAACAGCAGCACTGCTATATCAGTGCATCCTCCTCCTCTCACATGTGTTTGTCTGTTATTGACAAAAGAAAAAGGAAACATTTATTTTACAGCCTTCCCACCTTCCCAATGAGCAAGTCAGCCGCCTTCCACATTAACAAGCTCTTCTGCCTTTTAGTATTCGTCCAGTAGATTGTTAGTCATTAAACTGTCAGTTCCTTGGCCCTGCCTGAAAAATGTGTCAGAGCCTGGATTGCAAACAATGGAAATGTAATGGTGGTGCTGGGGAGCTTCATCCAAAATGTTTCCACAGCACTGAGGAGAAAATAAGAATGGCATTCTCAGGACAAGTACATTTAGCAATGGAAATCACTAGTCCTGTGAAAAGAGAAAAATGTAACTGATTCAGAACATTGAGTAGAATTCAAATAAAGAGGCCTGTTACATTTTGTTAATGAGACACTTTCTGAAGATTATGCACAGTACAATTTCTCCATGCTCTTGATCTAAAAATGTGCCAAGATAGCTCAGGGATTGAAAAATTGGTGTGAAAGCAACCTGTGGGAGATAGTTAAACGTAATACTCCTCTTCCAACCCTGGTCATAATTACAGAACTGCCATTTCCAAAGATCACAAAAGGAGTGTAGCTGCAAACAAGAATTAACTGTGGTGGATGCTAATGGGAACTGCCAGGTTAAAAAAACAGACACAGTCTTGCTAAAAACAAAGCTTCACCAGTAAAGATGAACATAGACAGAGGATGCAAACCAAGTCTCAAACAGTTGTCAAAATAATAAACAGTTGGGAATAAAAGTAATACTAAATAATAACCTCTTCAAAGAGGCTACACTACAAATATCATCCAGTGCATCAACATATGGGCAGATAGAAATGTCCTTATGAAAGAGAAAGTCTTGTTATTCTGGAAGGCACATAGCTGTAGGCTCCAGTAAGTGAAGTTAGACATATATACCATCAGCTCAAGTGGAATACTCTTGAAGTTCCATGAAATCAAGTATTTTTAGAGGCATCCTAAATCAGAAGAAAAAAAAATTAACTGATTTGTCCTATGGTTCAAGAAACCACAGAGAACACATAATAAAAACACCCTGATGAGTTAGCTTTTACTTCCTATTGTAAATACACCGAGGGGGGGACGACACACCAATGCAATCATATACATTTAACTCTTAGTTGTATGGTACAAGTTCACAGACATCATGGCAAAGAAGAAAACATGCAATTACAAGAGATCAATCTATCCAGGACACTTGTTATAAATGTGAATGTGCATACAGTTCCTTTACATATATTAATGCTCTCACCTCTTTCCTGTGTTCAAGAGATTTCAGCTTAGCTCTTATCACATTAATTGCTGGAGAAGAAGCTGGTGTCTGCAATTAAACAAGATGAAAACTGAGACTCTTTGAACTTCACTATGACCTTCAAAACTAAAACAGTTTTAGAGTCTCCTCAATTATCCTGACCTTAATTTAAATTAACTTATTTAATCAATTTATTAGTTTCCTTAGTTGTAAAAGCAGTTCTAAGCTTTTAACATTAATTTAGCTGTTGTACTGCTTTACGCAATAAATTGTGTTCATATCAATCCAACAAGAATTTGAGAAATTAAATCCTCTGGGGAAACACAATGAAGTTTATTCTATGGTAGCATCCCCCAAACTTGCATCTTGAGGTACATTAAACCAAACTGAAAACCTCTGTGTTTGCCAATAAATCTAGGAGTGAAGAAAATATCTAATTCCAAATATATTAATAAAACAATACAGGAGTTTAAAATCTAATAATTTAGGAATGGGGAAAACAGTTCTTAAGTACAAGAGAAAAAGGAAGAATCCAAGAGGGCAGAGCAGCAGAGGACAAGACAAATGAATATAATGTCCATCCATTAAATGATGAACTATATAATTAAGGAACAGCCCTATAGTGTTGGTAAAACACCAGATACATTACTATAATGACTGATGCTGCTGAATGTCACAAATACAAAGCAATCGGACAATGTTTATTGGAGACACCATAGTTGGTGTCATTATTATTATCCTCCTTCAATTCATATCTGATGCACAAAATTTCCTTTAAAATTGCTGTGGTCAGCTAAAGAACCTGGCAACTCTTATACCATAATTCATGTTGTTCAGTTTAAAACTACAAACTACACCACTTTTTGTTATTGTTTGATGGAATTTAGTGGATTGGTCTGTTTTTCCTCACTACTGCACAGTGTAAAACTGTTTCAGCCAGTTTTAGGATCAGATATTTCAAGAGAGGTTGATATTAACTGGGCTCCATTACTGTTTTTTTTTGGTGAGCCTCTCACCATACAATAGGAGTTAGATGCTGTTGCTTTCTTTTGTATGAGCCCATGGGCTGCTAAGGAGAAACTGAATGAATTCTCGGACTAGGATAGTCAAGGTCTCAGGCACATTTCAACAGAGCTGTTTGGACAATATCAGAACATAGGTGATTGATGATTTTATTATTAGACTTATATGTTTGGAGTACTGCAATATTATACATATCTTTCTTCTTGAAACGTGCTTGCAAGTAATCCTCACTTAACAACTATCTGGCTTAGCAAAGTTACAAAACCCTGAAAAAGTAACTTTATGACTACAACCATTGCAAGATTTGGGTTTTTCACAGCTTCCAACAAGTAGAGTTAATGGCAGGAAAATTGCAAAATGTGCTCATGTGGTCTCACTTAATAATCGCAGAGATTTATTTAAAGATTGTAGTGGAAGTGAGATCGTAAGTATGCTGCACTCATGTGAAATCACATTGTGCCATTTAGCAATGGAATTGCCAATCCCATTTATGGTCGTTAAATGAGGATTACTGGTACTCTTTCCTTTCCACTACATTTCCTCCCCCAGTATTAGCTGAGCACAATCTGGATGTGGAAGCTGTTTCATGGGTATACTTCTAGCCCCAGTATAACTGAAGTACAAGATTAGTTGTTATGCCAATAAGACTGCTAAAAAAAAATAGCACTGATTCTAGACTCTAAATTCTATTCTCAGGACAAATTGGGGAAACAGAATAATGTAGATACACATAGGAAATGTTAGTAAAACTCATAAGCCATATACAGAAATCCTCATCTAGAACTGCTTCATTCAGCAGCCATTCAATTGCAACTGTGATGAGAAAGTAACTTTGTATCTAATTATCACATTTATGACTTTCACAGGTTTGTAAAACAAGAAACACTGACATAAGCTCATGAGCACAGTTGCTGTTTTGCTTAGTGACTGTTTTGCTTAATGACTCGTTGCCAATCTTAATTGTGGTCACTAAATGAGAATTTCCTGAAGTTCTTTTAAACAAATTTCCCCTTGCCAAATAGATTCCATTGGTTAACATAGGAGAGACCCTTCTTCCAGCAAATCTTACCATGCTGATATTCTCCTTGCTGCTATGCTTTGAATCCTTAGTGCATGCAGATTCTGGAACAGTATCATTTTTCTTTTTGTCTAAAATCACTTGACTTCCCAACACTTTACGCTGCATTTGGAAAAGAGAATTATTTTCAACTGTGACAGAGAACAGGAAAGTAATGGAACAATATTTATTCATGGAAATTTCCAGAATAATGAGAGGTATGTTTCTCTGGGTGAAAAGTGGTGAGTTTTTCCCTATATTTTCCCTATTTTTTCTGCAGAGATGTTTTGATTCTGGATTCCACATTTGACTAAGCAATATATTTCCTTTCTGCAAGAACAGTCTTATACTGCCTCTCTTACACCGCGGAAAACTTATTAAAATGAAATCCTATTATTTCTGATGAAGATATAGAAGACGTGGGAAAAGACATAATAAAATGAGATGGAAGAAAATATTTTCAACTTTCATAAGTGCCCTTAATGGAGCAGCATCTAAGGCAGCTGTGTCCAAGATGTGCCCCACAAGCTGTGCATGCAACTTTGGAGAGCTTGTAATATGGCCCCACAAGATTATAAAATTTTAAAGGAAGTTTGTTCTTTATGTACATTAACTATATTACATATTATATGTGTTCAAATACAACTCTTCTTCGCTCAATATGGCCCAAGCAGGCCCCAGAGTTTTGGAATACCCATTATCTAAGATATCTAAGACACATCTCATGCAATGCCTTCCTTTACATCAGAAAATTTTGGTGACAGTAAAATGGATTTTACCTTAATTAGGCCACTGAAGGAACGAGTTCGGGCACGTTTCTGAATCTGTGTGGATACAGCTGCCTGAGGAGTAAGGGCTTCAGGGTGCTTCTGAAACTAGAACAAAACTTAATAGCACAGCTCATTCCATGATGTTATCCAGTGTCCATGCCAAAGCCCAATTCTACTTTCCCTTCATGCCTTTTGCCTCAACATCTACTTTTACAAAGATTCCCATGCTTTAATCTCCCTCATTGAGACAAGGATCTGTAAAGATTGCTTTCTCCCACACATGGTTATCTATCTAACTTGATCCTGAAATATTCCTTTTGAAATCTGCTGCCAAGAGGACCAAGATAAATAACTGCCAAATGGTTTATTGGATGATTTTAAAATTGCTGTGAAATGCCTTTCTTGGGGGGTGGGCTCATCCTATATGATCAATTTGATATTAGGTGATGCTTTCAGATCTTTTAATAAAGCTGTAATCTTTGTTATTTGGAACCACTGTACTATACAGCCTGTATTATTTTAAAACTGCTTATATGGCTTGCTCGCTCTTTCCTGAGAGCTTTTCTATTGCATTTGCTCTTTCATGATACAGTGCTTTATCATTTTTATTTTGTGAGGTGAGCCACAGTCTAAATATCAATATCAAAATAATACGTAATCATACCTGCTGAATAAGCTTTTTTTTCTTGGCAGAATCTGGCATATTATGAACATGGCAGAAAAGCTCTTTCAGTGCTTCTTCTGTATGGTGCTGTGTGTCTTCCAAGTGGGCAGAAGGATCTAAGAGCCCTCGGTTCTTGAATTTCAGAAGCTGAATGTCTTTGAAATTCTGGGGCATTGGCAAATCCAGGTCATCCTTTAGAAGTTCAAACAGATCATTAGGCTGTTGGCTCTAACTAGTTTGTTTCTATAAAGCTGGTTATTATTCCAGTGAAAGTCTTCGATGAGAATATTTCCAATTTGATCCGTTAATAGAATAATATCTGCCTGTCATGTTTGGGGCCTGATGCTCCCTTCTCCTCTGTTCAAATATTGTGTATTGTAACCAAATTCTCTAAAATGGACTTATTTGGTTGACAGTTGAATAAAAAAAAGTCCACTTTTTTCCCAGCCCATGGATGGAGAATACTTCAAAAACTCCAAAATGGTTTTCAGCAGATGCCACCCCTCGCTCACTCCATAATTCCAGTATGCCTATCATAGAGCTGCCATCGGTTATTTAGGCCATCAAGGTCTAATTACATCCCAATGAGGAATCCAAATGTATATATTTATTTGATTTATATCCGGCCTTTATTTTGTATAAATCCAGACACTGTACATAATGATCCCTCATCCCATTTTCTCATAATTATTCTATGAAGTTGGTTGGGCAGAAGATTTATGACCGGCCCAAAATCACCCAGCCAGCCAGCCTCCATGACTAGATAATATAATAAATGTTATCCTGGTTTTTAGTGAAGCCCCTTAATCATTACACCAAATTGGCTCAAACCTATAAAGACTGTCTAAATTGTTATACATACATGATTGATGGCTGTCATGTGTATATTGGATCTCTCATATTTAATCTAGCACCAAATGCAGGAAGGGTTAAAAAAAAAGGTCACCCATCATATCATAATTTATAAGAGTATATAATAAGCTAAATGCTTAATCTAAAATTTAATTTTGCCATTCCTTTTTTCCCCAAACATGGATCGCCATAAGATTCCATTCTCACTATTTCCTTTTATCATTAAATAGCCTGTTTCCGAGTGCAGTTTGCTGTCCTGACTATGTCTAAGTTCTATCTTTCCTTCTGTAAAAGATGGCACAACTTCTTACCTTTGAGGCATGAGTTCTGGAGTCCAAATAATGTATCCTGGCATATTCCCGGATATATACTGGAGCCTTACAGTGAAAATAGGGGGGGAAAGTAGAAAGATGAATCAAAATGCTCTTGATACTCAAGAGAGACCCATAGGTTTACAGGAACTAATTAGTATTTTCCAAAGATCCTTCTGGTTACCTTTTCCTTGAAAGAGATATCAGAGATAGTTCCAATTAGTTCTTCACAAGAAGTTCAGTTTTGGTTTGGCATAAGTCCAATATGGTCAAAAACGGGATTATCTGACCCATAGGTCACACACAATGCATGAGCCTTTGGAGCTCATCTGCAACCTTCTCTCCTTCACTTTATTTCCACTAGTATAGCAACCTGACTTAGAAAAAAGTTGCCTTTCTTCCTAATTGCAAATCAGAAATTAATGTTTTATAAGCAGAAATGTTGTGTGAGGTTACCAATTTTAAGGAATAGTGCAGTTACAATTAATATTTTCTTCATCCTTCACACTGCATTACCTGCTTGCTGCCATTAGGTTTAAAAATAGTTTTTTTTCTCAACATAAAACTTCTCCAAAGTGAAGGGAAAAACAATACATGGGCAATTTAACATGAAAGATGATATACATACCTATGACAATTTATATTTTCCATTCATAAATACTTTCTACACATAAAGTAGGGATGCCAACATCCAGTCCCTTTGCAGAAAATATAAATACAGAATAATCTGGAAAATGTTGCCCATCCTTACTTCATGGGTAGAAAACTATTTTTTTCTTTATTAAATTTCTATTGAAAGTTTTACAAAGAACATTAAAATTAACATAAACTACATGTAGTCCTCGACGTACAGTATGATCACAATTGGGATCAGAACTTTTATGGCTAGCAATCTATCATTAGCTGAGTCATGCCTGATTTTACGACCTTTTTGCCACAGTCATTAGATGAATCATGCACTTAAATGAATCAGACTCTCCCATCAATTTTGTTTGTCAGAAGTCTCCTGGGAACATCATAAATGACTATTATGTGACCCTAGGATGCCATAGCCATTGCAATATCTGCTGATTGCCAAGCACCTGAATTTTGATCACATGACTGTGGGGACACTGCAACAGTTGCAAGCACAAGAACTTGCGGAAAGTTCCTTTCAACACTTGTAACTTCAAATGGTCTTAAATGGTTGTAAATCAAGGACTACCTGTAATAAAGAGTAAATGTACTAAAGAAAGAAAAAGAAAGAATACAGAGAAAAATGCAGGAAAAAAAGAATAGAAAGACATAGAAAAGGATTTCCAACCTTTTTTGTGGCAATCCTTTTTACAGCAAACGTTCACTATTTTCTATTCGGTTTTTTTAAATCATCAAAACCACAAAACATAAGTCCATTTTTCATTTTGGGCAAAAAGTCTTTAAGCCATGCCAAAACGTCCATGCCAAAGCCCAGAGTTTATGGTCCCTTTTTTTCTAATCAAATAGCTTAATTTAGCTATCACCTCAAGTTCAGTTATCTTCCCCGTTATTCCTCTCTTGTGGGTAATGTCAAATTTTTCTACTTTTGAGCATATAATGCTAGAAAGTTCATTTCTTGAAAAATTCAGATCTGTGTTGTACTCTCATATATATTGTATACTGTCAGGTGCTGACTTTAACAAAAGAGTGTTCATTTCCTAAGAAACTTTAGCCTAACTAAAGACATCATACATTACGCATACATCATCCCAAAGAAAACAGAAAAGTCTTTAAAGGCCTAATTGCCAATCACTAACTAATAAGAAAAAGGTGTCACAGAACTGCTTAGTAAATACAGAGTTTAGGTTCATCAAAACCACTTAATAACAATGAATATCACCTACTATATATCCTGCATTCACATGTAGAAAATGTTTTTAAAAAACTTCCACGTGTGAAAGATCATTTTGTAAAAATAGATAAATGCCAGAGAGCCCAGCAACAGAAATAAGTAACACCTCCAAAGCAGCACCTCTAAAAAGGCCAGAGCATCTCACAGTTTGCACACACTTTCCCCCAATGAGTAATGTCCTCAGACAATAGGGCAACAGTGTTGGAGATTAGTTCCTCTCTCTATGTGATCTTACTTTGAAGAGTTTTTGTGAGTGCTTGATCATGAAAGCCATCCCGTTATTCAGTTGGTTAATGTTTTCCTGCAGATCGCTGGCAGTCACCTAGCAACAGATACAGAATGAGAACAGGTTAAGTGAGTTGCAAAATCATAGAGGCAAGCTTGTTTTAATGGTGAACTACAGCAGTCATCTACTGAGCAATTCCATCCTTCCTAGCCTGCCCTACGTTTCCCTTTTCACCATCATATGAAACAGAATACTTACATTTCGGGGCCACAAAATATGAGGTGCAAACATAAGAGCAAGGTTATGTGCTGACATCTTGTTCCTGTCCTGTTTCTTGGCTGTTTGATAGAGCAGATCCAACAGCAATTTGAGCAGATTGCGATTGGCAGCTGGTAAGATCAAGAAGAGCAATTGCAGGGCTTCAATCTGACGCTCTTTATCTGGATTGTTGGTCTTGTTGCCCTTGTCATCAAACTGCATTAGGTCTATAATGCAGGAATCAGGAAAATATCTGTTAAGCATGGCTGGCTAAAAGAAATCTCAGGAATTCTATCCAATTCTTAAAACTATTTATTTTCAAATTCTGATTACTCTTTTAAGAATCCCCAAAACTTCATATTTAAATATCCTTGCCATTAGTTTGAACAGGGAAATATCAGGGTCTCCACACGTTTTGAACCACCAGATTATTATGAGCCTATGGCGTTGTTACAGTAGCCAGGAAGCCACAATGATATTGCAGAATAGTAGTTTGGCTTGGCAAAGTACCAGCCCTGTATAGCAGGGGTCCCCAACCACCGGGCCGCGGACCGGTCCCGGTCCGTGGAGCACTCTGTACCGGGCCCAAAGGAAAAAAAATAAAAAAATGGCGGCTTTCTTCGCCTTCGGTGAATGCTGCTGGGATCGGGGATCAAGGACACAAATGAGAGAAGGGGAGGGAGGAAGCAACCGAAGCCTGTCCTGCTCTCTGGCTCAGCGGCTTCGGTTTCCTCCCACCTCATTCCTCTCTCAGTCGCTCTCTCGCTCCTCCACCAGCCCAGGAAGAAACTGCTTCAAAGAAGCGGGGGTGGGGGGGTGGCTTTTCCTGTCGGTGCAGCTCCTCCGAAGCGCCCGTTTCACCCCCACCCCGCCGCCAATCAATCCAGGTTCAATCCAGTGCTCCGTTCTGCCTGCCTGCCTGCCTTCGTTTCTGGTAGTTTCGGAGCAGCTTCGGCTGAGAATAATAACTATTCGCCTCTTTTTCTCAGCCGAAGCTGCTCCGAAACTACCAGAAACCAAGGCAGGCAGGCAGGCAGGCAGGCAGGCAGGCAGGCAGGCAGAACGGAGCACTGGATTGAACCGCGGGCAGCGGGGCGGGCGGGGCGGGGGTGAACGGGCGCTTCGGAGGATCCGAAACCACCAGAAACGAAGGCAGGCAGGCAGAACGGAGCACTGGATTGAACCGCGGGCGGCGGGGCGGGGCAGGGCGGGGGTGAACGGGCGCTTCGGAGAAGCTGCGCTCCGAAACCACCAGAAACGAAGGCATGCAGGCAGAACGGAGGATTGAACCGTGGGCGGCGGGGTGGGGGTGAACGGGCGCTTTGGGGAAGCTGCGCCGACAGGAAAAGCCACCCTTCTGGCTTCTTTGAAGCAGTTTCTTCCTGGGCTGGTGGAGGAGTGAGAGAGCGACTGAGAGAGGAACGAGGCAGACACCTGAGGGATGAGGCTGAGGGAGGGAGGAGACAACTGAGGGATGGGGCTGATGAAGGCAGGGCCGACAGGCGAGGCTTCTCAGCCGTCCTGCAGGGACTATCTGTCGCTCAGGGTTGCAATGAGGAGGCATTGGCGTTCCCTGAACTTGGTGGTTTGCTGGCAGACGTTTTATTACCCGACTAGGTAACAACATCAGATGTTACCTAGTCAGATAATGAAATGTCTGCAAGCAAACCACCAAACTCGGACACCACCACCCCCCCCCCCCCCGGTTCTTGAAAAAGTGTTTCTGAGTGAAACTGGTCCCTGGCACAAAAAAGGTTGGGGACCACTGCTGTATAGGATACACTTGTGCACTTCCCAAGGTGTGCCACAGGAGGCTTCACACCAGAAAGAAAAACGAGTGGCTCTTCCTGCAGTGTTACCAAGGCCCTCTCCCTTCCTGGAGCTGCCCCACAAACGGGTGCTGCAAACAGGAAATTTGAGAGCTGTCAGGAATCTGACTGACTGCATAGAGCACCAGCCTGTCTCACTACCAAAGTAGTATCTACTTGCATAGAACATGCTTTCGAACTGTGAGATGGACAGAAGCTGAGGTGAGTGAGAGGAGCTCTCCTGCCACACAGTGCTTGCACTCGAAACGCCAGAGCTGAAACCATTTCCAGCATCTTTAAGCCACTGAGCCATCGCCCCCTCCAACGACCAGATGAATAAGAAAGATGGATATTTTGAAAGACGGATCTCATTCAAAAGTGCCTGCAGGAAAGAATATATAACTGATAACATTGCCTAGTTAATGTTGATTACCTGAAATTTTAAGGTGTGCATGGAAATGTTTGTGAGTCAGCAAAGGCTCTGGTAATTCTCCCAGGAACATCTTCAACAAAGTGGCCACATCATTGGAATGAAACTCGCCTGAATCCAGGTCAATTTCTGTTCCACTATTCAAAGCTTCTTTCAGGTTCTGTTGCCTGGTACTGTTTCCAGGCACTCGGAACAAGCCTTCTGTCCGCAAATCTGCACCATGATAGGAGAGGTATTAAACATATGCCAGATACAGTAACTGCTACCATTCCTAATTTTGAATCTAGATCTCATTTTGAATCTATATCTTGATCTAGATCTAGTGATTGTCTGGATTTTTTGCAGTCTAAGATATGACGACCCTTTTCACACCTTTATCCTTCTTTTTAAATCTTTTCAGAGCCCTAATAGAAGAGTCAGTGAATTGTACAAAATAAAATAGAAATACTGAATTCAATGAAGGGAATTTTTAAAAATCTACTTCAAGATTTGATTCACAAAGCAAGAGTGTCTTTCTTGAGTGCAAACATTTGGGTGGAGTTCACTTGAATCCTATTATTCCAATGGCACTTGAAAGAAGCAGTTCTGAAAATTATGAAAAGCTGTTTTGAAATATTTACTCCCTCTAACTTGTTATTAGCCAGTATAGAACCATAGTTTTATTAATTTACCTTTTATATACTTTTGTCATATCTCATTTATATACATTTTTGTGGCTGAGCCGATATATTCTCATGTTATATCACAGAATGGTCATTTAAATTTATTTTCAGATTGTGTTCTTTTCTAGTTATGACTATTAGTTTACCAGAACAAAAGAAACATAAAATAGAAACTATTTTCAGAAGGAGAGAAGAAAATGTTCAGATCTAAAAGCATACATAGAAAGTTTTTATAAATCAAATTTTTGCCTCAGATTATTTCACAATTGCTTACTTAAGAAATATAGAAAGACCTCCAAAATTACTTACTCTTATGCAAATACTCAACAAGTTGAGATATTTGAGCAATGCCTTCTTCAGTCAGTGGTGCTCCAAATACCACCCCTTTCTCTATAAATTCAAAAAAACAACAAGGAGATAATCAAAGAGAATATCAATTGTTTTATATAAACTCAGATTGGTTTATTCGCTATCTCAAAATGTCAGAAGTAAAACTTGGACCAGAATTTATGTCCATTCAATATCCATTTTCAAAAAAATAAATAAAACTTTACTCTTATTATTAGTGCCAAAGGCATCAGGTTAGAAAAGAAATATTGTTTTTTTTCTATAAGGGAAGCTATGTTACAAAATAGATACTTTTAATCTATATTTATGCCTGTGTCTTGTTTATACTGTAGTATGCACATTGTGTACTTTATGAAGGAATATCAGCAAGATATTTTTTCTAATTAACATCTAGTATCTAATCTAACATTCAACTTCTAATGGTATTTCTGGGTACTGATATAATGAACATTAGTTCACAGCATCTGGGATTCATAGAAACACTGCATCTGTATATAAGAGATGCTTTCCTGTTCTAGGTCAACTTTCAGTACTTTAACTAATTGGAATTGTAGTATACTTGAAAAAAAATGCTGTCTTGCTTACTTTTGGTCAGGTCTTGATTGTAGTCATCTGCTAAAGGCATGATAGCTAGGAATAATACTTTGGTTACCCAGATGTGAATTTTAATCTGTATCATTCTCACCACACCCACCACCCTAATACTTCCTCTAGATTATTTGAAATGGTCCACAAAGTTTATTACCCCAACAGCTTCTGCATGTTCAGAGACAGAGCCAAGATTACGCCTATCCATTAGGCCAAAATGTTAAGGATTAGATCACATGTAATATTTTGAAACTCATGAAGAAGAGTATCCTGATATATACAGAGTAATATAAAATGGTCTGGCAATCTCATATAAGTTCCCTGCATCCAACTAACTTATTATTTTGAACAAGAACAATCTTAAAATAATATCTGTAGAAACCAACATTCACTACATAAGGGTATGTGCTGATACCACAGAAAAGCAAAACAACTTGTCATAATACCGTATTTTGCTACTATATTTAATTTATCACAACAGTGCTTTGATTATAAAACTCATATACTTCTTACTTAAACCAATGAATATTATAAGAATATTTTGCTGCTATTAAACAAAACAATCTAATCAATTTCTTGACCGCATTGTGAAGTACTGAAATTACAGGAAGCAAAGCAGTTAAAAAAAGATGATGATGATGTTTAAGCTTTTAATGTTTAATGTTTTTTTTCTATAAAACGTAGAAAATGATGTGTTTTGGCAAAGATTGCTAACAAACAAGTATAGCAATATCACCAGCACTTAGACTTATATGTCACTTCACAGTGCTTTATAGCCTTCTCTAAGCTGTTTACAGAGTCAGCATATTGCCTCCAACAATCTGGGTCCAGAGTACCAACTTCGGAAAGCTGGAAGGCCGAGTCAACCTTGAGCTGGTCAGAATTAAACTCCTGGCAGTCAGCAGAACTAGCCTGCAATACTGCATTCTAACGGTCTATGAAGATTCTCAGTCATCCAGTCATGGTTGTCCCAAAGATGCTTCAGCTTCTTGGATGAGAAGCGAAACATCTTCAAAGAAAAAGTAGAAAGTCCAGTTGCCTCTTGAAAAAAGCATCTTTGGGACTGCATTCTAACCACTGTGCCACCTTGGCTCTTGTACGTATGTACAATGATTATGTAAATAAATAGAAACAAGTACGTACATGCAGATGATATGACTCTCCTACAATTGTTAGAATTATGAAATCATTTCGAACTTTCAAGATATGTGTGTGTGTCTGTGTGTAACTATGATAGAATCTACCTTGATTAAAAAACTATTTCAAAAGTTAGCACACTGAATTATATAATAAAAATATAATCATTGTTATACTTCAAAAATCCTGGGAGAATCACATTGTTGAAATATGTGTCAAGCTGCTAAGTACAATAAATACTTGAGCTAGCTTGACAAATGATTTCTCATTCAATTCTTCTTTGCCATAATTTACTTTCACTTCTGGTCTCACTTATTTTTTATCTTTGGTACATAGTAGCCATGATTCTATTATATGTTACTATTCACAATAACTTATAGTTACAAATGTATTTCAGATGAGCACTCCTTGGGGCCCTTGGTGCTCTTTGAGCTTGATTATTTGCTTGCAGTCATTTCATTACCAGACTAGCCAACATCTTCAGTATTAGAAGGGTATGGATTTGTTCTCCATTTATATTCAGTAACTTGCCCTGTTGGTAGATGTGTTGGGTTTTTTGTTAAGCTATTTTCCATCCAACTGTACACTTTATAGATTCCAACCCTCAGCTACATACATATATATATATTCTCTTCTTTTCAGCACTCTTTCTCTGAATATTCCATTTACTTCTCCCTCTAAGCCATTTCATTATCCCCAAATGCTTCAGTTTGTATCCATGGCAGTTCCAATAATAACATCAATTCCTGTTACTGCGAGATATTGCAGCCTACATTTTGTATCATGAAAACAATTTTGTACTGCCATCTTCCAATCAACAGTAACTTCTGATGGCTTCATAGACATATGCAATTTCCTTAGCATCAATATGGAATGGTTGTCACTGCACTTTTCTGGGATGTTTTTCAACTTCACATCCAGCGTTCACCTTCTTCTGATTATCTATCCCCGCCTGAACTACTTAGCTTGGATTCTAGACAACGTTGAGCAGGCGCTGCCACCTGCTGAAACTACATACACACATACTCCAGTTGAGTTCAAATCCTGATAAAAATGTTTTTTTTTTTAAAATAGAACATAGCAATAAGAAGCTCTTCAATCAGAAAACTTCCCCTTTCAATCACTTCTGGAACATTAGAAGGAAAGGAACAAATCTTAATTCTCAGGGAAGTCTATTCTACAACAATGAACTAACAGCAGTTCCAGGCCTCCATTCCCCATTTCTTCAAGGAAGTGAGGCATCATCAAAGCTTATCCAAGGCAGAATGTACCGACAGTCTGATAAAAATAGTAGAAACTAGTCCTGTAGGTACTAATAAAGCACTTTATGACTTGGTGTCTGTAAAATCAGTACTCTGAATAAGACCCGAAAACCTGTCAATAACAAGAGATAAGTAAGAAACACAGCCATAATATAATACTGGTAATATTACCAATTTTCTACCACTTATAGGATGGTCTTTAATAGTGTTGGAAGAAATGTCCATCTGGGTTCAGTTCCAAGTGGGAAGAAAGACACTGGAAACATGGAGATTGCTTGGAAGGGTGGTTTTAATGGTGGAACAGGACCACATGATTTGAGGTCCTGGGCAAAAAAAGAGCACCTGGGTGAGATAGGGAGAGAGATTTATACCTTCTGTTGGGCTTTGAACTTGCTTGCTGTTCCTGTGGCAAGAAATGTATCCTGATTGGTTGTTAGGTTCCCATGGGTCCATGCAGGGGTAACTTTGTAGGTTGTCTTGAGTCCCATGCCTGGTTGAATCTTGCTGAGTGTTGTAATGAAGGGGCTTTGGGCAATTCCTATCACCCTGGAGCTTACAACACCCTTTGTGTTGTAAGATGGCTCAGTCTTTTTGAGGCTATTAACTAAGGTGTGGGCTGCTTTCCAAGAGCATGTTTGGAAAGGTATAATATTCTGCCTTTTTAATATTTCCTATATTTCATTCTTCTAGGAGAGAGGTGGGTGCTAACTTTCTACAATAGCATTTCCATGTAAAGTAGTTTTTAGTCCAAGAAATTACTGTTACAATATAAGATTAAGATTTTTAAATTAAGATTTTTCTAGTGTTTGTAGGCATATTGTGACTACTCAAAAATCATTTAAGCAAATTAAAATGTCATTTTTTAAATGTGACATTATCATTATATTATGAGAGAACAGAATAGAACTTCTAATTACACTGCAAGAAGAGATTGTTGCATATTTGAATTCAGTTTGGAAAGAAGTCTAATTAGATTACAATGTGATTCCATAAACATAGAAAATCATAAGACAGGATAAGAATGCAGAACTCGTTTTCTAGATTGACAGAAATATTTCTCTAAGATACTATACCAAAAAGAAGATACAAGAAACAGTACAAGAAGTTAGTAATTAGTGGTCAGCTCCAAAGATATAGAACGCTACTTTGTCCAAGATTCAAAAATGTTTTACAATTCAGTCTGAAATCTGGACATTTTTCCAAACCTACTGTAGTAACCCAGGAAACATCCCAGATTCTTAAGCAACCTAATGGGATAGTGGGTAGAATGAACATGCCTATTAGATAGCTATTGTTGTAATTTTGTCCATCTAGCCTAATATTATCTTCTTTGAACTTTTATATATTTAAAATAGTTCTAAAGTCACTGAACTTTAGTTCTTCTAAGAATATAAGGAACAGGATGGCTTTTCTCCTAGAAGCACCTTCAGTGTTGACTGCTATTTTTTTCTAGTTGTGCCATTTGATATTAAAAAGAAATATAGTGAAAACTAAGGATTAATCATAATAGATACTTTTGTAATACTGCTTTCCTAATTTTTAATTTGGAAGTTTATTAATAAAGTTGTGCGTTTTGCTGTAACAGAAGAGCCAGCTTTAGGTCAGAGCAGCAGCCATATGAACATCTCGGGAGATATTATTTCATCAATTTTGTTGACTGTGGTGGCCCACGAGGTTAGGACACTGAGTTGATGATTGGCGTTCGAGACCCAGTTGCTGCTGCAGGACGGGATGAGTGTTTCAACACCTGCCAAATCAGCAGCTTAAAAACAGATGATCGCGGGTAGATAAATGGGTACTACATTGGTGGGTAATTTAACAGGGACAAGAAAGAAGTCCCCAACTGGGCATCCCTTAGACAACTTTGATGTCATCGTTCAATCCTTTCAATCTGGAAGCACTTCAACACTCTTGATACAACTCTAATAATAGTATCCATTTCTTTGAAAACACTGCCAATTATAAAGAAGTGAGACCATGATATCATATTATAGCAATAGCACTTAGACTTATATACCACTTTATAGTGTTTTACAGCCCTCTCTAAGCAGTTTACAGAGTCAGCATATTGCCCCCAACAATCTGGGTCCTCATTTTACCCACCTCGGAAAGATGGAAGGCTGAGTCAACCTTGAGCCTGGTGGGATTTGAACTGCCAAACTGTAGGCAGCTGGCTGCAGAAGTAGCTTGCACTCTAACCACTGCACTCTAACCACTGTGCCACAGAGGCTCTGTCAATTATCATTGAAAGCCAATAGAAAGCACTAGCAAACACATCATACTTACCTTTGCGTTTAAGAGACATCAAGGAACGGAAAAAACCTGAGGAAATGCTAGTCCCACCAGGCAACTGGGGCTCTTCCTCACCCATCAGTTGAGCAAGCTCTGCTCCAGGCAAGTCAATCAATCGGGTAATGTTGCTGACCACAAGTTCTGTGAATGCTTCAGGCTTCTCATGTCTCAGCTTCTCCACAAAGAAGTCTGGATTAAAGATGATTTGTTGCCGCTGAAGGGAAGACTCATTGCAGATAACAAAACTGCAAATGGCATCACTGAGGAAGAGAGTGAAGCATTATGAAGTAATTCCATGCAATTCCAATATAGCAATAATCTTTAGCCATGCAGGCAATCAAACTAAAATGGCCCACAGTTTATATTATAGAAATAATGTTTTAATATAATCTGCATGTTTTTTAAGAATACCATACCATTCCACCCATTTCTGCAATATGCAATATACCAGAATACTGTCATGCTGTCTGCATAAGAGAGATAGTACAGTGATTTGCATGTTATACCTACCCCAAAGAAATACACATTCCCCTGTCAAGCTAAAAACAAACTGTATAATTGATCAGCTTTGGACAATTATAGTTCATATTAATTGATATAGAGAACATTACATTTAAAATATATTCTTTAAAAAGGCAATCATTCAGCTTTTAACAATTATTTTTATAACATAAGCATGCAAATTTTTTTTAACAAGAATAATGTTCTAAAACAGTAAGAATGTTTGGAAATTATTCAGAACAGTTAGCCTGGAAGTTACATCAAAGGTATACACTGTAAATATATCATCCTATGGATATCAAATGATTTCTTTTTTCTGCTCTTACTGGGTGGAACATTATGGAAGCATGAAGTAGAAATATAATACAGTTCTTTTCTTAGAGGAAAATTATGTGTTGTTAGGTTATATGCTGTATAAAAATTAAATAATTTCTGAAATATACAATGCATAAAGAAAAAACTGTCAATTGAATTTACCGCTTTTTTTAGAATTCCAATAGTCCAACATAGTGGAATATTTTTATCAAAATTACTCAGAACTACCCTAGATAGACAATATTTGCCATTGTGGAAAATTGCAATAGATATCCTTTTGCAGTCCCAGCCTGGGATTGAAGTGGCTAATTAAATCTGAAATCATCCAAGCAGTGAAGTTGGCAAAATCACCCCAAACACAGTAAGCCACAGAAAAGAACAGTTCTCTTCATCCCTGAGCGAGTAAGCTGCCAAGAATAATCTAATTCTAGCACAGCTTCATAAGAAACCCTGCCGTTTGATATGTTTAACAAGCTGAAAACAAGATGGAGCCCTTCAGTTCAAACAGCTGGGGATGAATGTTGATTGACCTCATACTTTTAGATTAGATTAGATTAAAGAGTTGGAAGGGATCTTGTAGGTCATCCAATCCAAACCCCCCCTCCAAAAAAAAACAAAAAACAAGGTTCTCCATTGCACTGTTTTAATATGTGCTAGCCAGGCAGGACAACATAAATATGACTTGTAAGCTAATCATAGACCCAACATCTCCTTCTAAGGAAGACCAATATGCTGTTAATGTCTTGCCCCAAGAAAACTGCTAAGTCTGCATAACATCTGTGTCATTTATTCAAACTTTCATCCCCCATGTTCTAGAATTTAAAGAAACCCTAACCAATTTTCAAGGCATAATTAATAGCTAGTATATGCCTGCCTATTTGAGGACTTTCAATTCTTAATTTCTAGGAAATCTTAAAGCAACCGTTTCTGAAATAATAGAAAAGACAAATCTCTTACACAAGTGCTGAAAGTTTCTGGCGCGGCATTGGGAAGCAGAGATGTAATGAGAAGAACTAATTCCTTGTTTTCAGAAGCAGAACTGCCTGCTCCAACGCAGCCTATGCAAATTCCACACACAATAAACAAGACAAAGACTCATTTGTTGGCCTTCTTCTCACAAATAATCAACTTTCATTAGCGTCAGAGCAGAACTTAGATCAACCAACTTTATGGAATACTAGAGCGTAGACCGCATCCTTGAAGAACTTACCATTTCAATTATCCAATTTATTGGGGGAATCTAGTATTAAGCTCTCAAAGCTTTATACTTTATACTCTCAAAGATTTATTAATGCTTAACCCAAACTTACTATGTATTCCACTGGTTTTATCTTCTCTTTTAAAATCTTCTTTCATGACTTCCTCATTTGATATCTAGTTTATGAAGCCAAATCTTATAAGGCATTTTCCTTTAAAATGTTTTCTTCTGATTTCTAATTTTTCTTGATGTGTAAAATTGAACTATACATTTTTACCTCTTTCCTTTACCTCTTATATGTCTTCAGCCTAATTAATCTTCAGAGTATGTTTTGTTGTTGGAAAATTTCAATCATATATAATGTGCTGCATTGTGGCACGTTGCTGTCTGCTTTTATAACCCCATTCATGTTTTATGGTGCACAATCTCACAATAAGAGTAGCCCTTAACTCTCTACCAAATTCTGTGCTAAACATTACTAAGCTTTGTAGTTTTGAAAGGTCACTTTATCAGCAACAGTCCCTCGCACAAAAATATGCTTGGTTATTATTAACATTAATGAAAGTCAGAACTCTTTCAAACAATTCAGTCACACACTATCCAAAGGTAAGGAAGAATGTGAGCAGCGCATTGCCATTTGCATACTAAAAAGAAAGAAACATGATGCAAAGAAAGTAGACAACTGTATATCTGCTTTCATAGAAATGTTTGATTAATGAATTACAAGCTAAGGATTTGCTCAAGTTATCAAGAAGAGGATGGCCCTTGAGTAAAATCCTCAAGGATATCGGATCCTATTAGATAGAAAAAGGAAACCAAGGACAAATGAATAAAAGCCAGATTAGATTGGCTTCATAATTAGATGTCTTTTAATAATTTATGGAGCAAGCTATAACCAATCATTCTTCTTAACACAGACCAATGTTGAGGAGGCGGCAAACTTTGTTTTGGTTTTATGAAGAATTTTCCATTGGTGCATTCAAAGGGAGCCTAAGTATCAGATGACATCATCTCGTTCCCACTACCTTACAATTTATAATTTTATAGAAACTAAATATAATTTTATTTTGTAGAACTGTTTAAAATGTATCCAGCATTCTTCTGAAAGAATGCAATTTTTTTTTAAAAAAAGTAGCCCACAAACATCTGAAATGTACTACATAGGGCTGGTTTAACTGCCTGGTCCCAGAGCCTGGGGGAATATCTAGGTTTGAATGCCTTACGAAGGGTTGAGGCCATTCTGAACTCTGGTGGGATGCTGTTCCATAGAGCAAACTTTGACAGAGAAGGCACAATTCTCATGTCCCAGAAGATGACATTTCCTAATAGACCTGGAACATGCCAACCCCGCCAGTTCTGATAAGCTGAGCAGAAATGATAGGTGACAGATAGTCCTGCAAATATTGTGACTCAATGCCATGTAAGGCTTTATAGATGACAGCCAGCACCTTGAAATGCACAAAAATGGGAGCCAGTGCAGCTCACAGATGTTGTATGTATGTATCCAAAAATATCCAAAAATGTCTATAACTGCTGTATTTTGGACCAGCTGCAGCTTCCAAATGCACTTTAAGGGCAATCCTACACTAGAGTAATACACCTGGGAATTAATGTTGCTAGTGTCTGGGCAACATTTCTGTTTAATTTGTATATATTTTAATCTTGTATTTTATATTTTAAATTGTACGTCATATAGTATCCTTATTTTAACTGTGATGCTTCTGATATGAATAAATGAACAACAATAAGGTGATAATACAACCAAGACAGTCATAAGAATATGACTTTTTAAAATGGCTATGGCACAAGCAAGTTTTTATGCTATGGTTAATGAGACAACTAAATATAGACCAACTCATACCTTTTTTATGTTTCATTTTATCATTTTAATTGAGGGGCTCTCAAGCTACACAAATAAAACTTATCTAAATATGTTTCTTAAAATACCACTATTTTGACTTTTTAAGAACAATTAACATCTTTATACCAGTATTTTGTAGTTGCTCTGCTAGAAGAAATATAATCCTAATGATCTAGCCCACCAACACCCGGGTGGCGCAGTGGTTAGAATGCAGTATTGCAAGCTAATTCTGCTGACTGCCAGAGTTCGATTCTCACTAGCTCAAGGCTGATTCAGCCTTCCATCCTTCCAAGGTCGGTAAAATGAGGATCCAGGTTGTTGGGGGTAATACGTTGACTCTGTAAACCGCTTAGAAAGGGCTGTAAAGCCCTGTGAAGTAGTATATAAGTCTAAGTGCTATTGATATTGCTATGTTGAACCACTCACAACTTTCTCTTCAAATCCCCAATCTAGTGGTCACCCAAAATTATCTCGAACCCATGGTCCCTAGCTATTTCCTCTTTGGGTACAAAAATAGTTTTCTCCTTTTCTGTCCTATTCATATATGATTATTATACTCAAGCACCCCATTAGCTGAGGTTAAAAATCATGTAGCATATTTTGAGGGTAACTGGCTGGCAAAGGGTGAATACTTACACCTGCTTCCCTGCCCCCTTTGATACAGCAAGTTTGTGTCTCAAAAAATGATGGACCTAGTCTCAGGGAAGCAGCATAGTTATAAAACAAAACTATATAAGTAATAATTCAACAGCCACACCGGAAGTTGTTTTATTTCAAAAAATGCACTGGCAAATCATCTAATCCTGTTTCCATGAGAAAAAATAGCTAAGATTTCACATCTTATCAATCCATAGTTAATCCGATTATGATTTACCCATTTATCTCCATGTTCTGAATTTCTGTGGCACAAGTAAAGACAAACTAACACATCACCTGAGTTCATACTCTATTATAGGGTGGCTTGCACTGTAGTGGATTGTAGCAGCCACTGCTACAGTCCAGCTTATTGGGTGGAATTAAAGCCTTATGGTATACTAATGAAAGAGGAGTGTAATTGTTGAATATACTGAATCATAAAAGAAATCACACTGAGTGGGCTCATGCAATACACTAAACCATAAACTACTCATATGCATTTTAGCTTAGAGTTGTACTGGTACCACCACAGACATTGAATAGCAGTTCTCTGATTAAAGAATATTTTAACCTTATCTGAAGACCCCAGGGATCATCTAGCACTTCTTATACATAACTCACTTAGTTTATGACTGAAAGATATGTCTACGGAGATTCTCAGTCATCCAGGCCATGGTCCCAAAGGTGCTTTTTCAAGAGGCAACGGAACTTTTCTTTGAAGAGCTTTCGCTTCTCATCCAAGATGCTTCTTCAGAGCAAAAGTAGCTTCTTGGATGAGAAGCGAAACGTCTTCAAAGAAAAACCAGAAGGTCCAGTTGCCTCTTGAAAAGGCACCTTTGGGGTTACTGAAGTATAGTGATTTATGGCAGGGACCAAGTAGAAAATGGACTGCTGCTTTAATTCACCACTAAAACAACCGCGCAGGCCACGTTTATTCGTCCATTCGAAACCCGACTCAACATCCTTTCCATCTGCCCTTCCGTGCTCCTACATCAAACGCTACCAAACCGCTTTCTAGTCAATCTTCAGCGGCCCCAGCCCTTTCCCGGACGCCGCCTTAATCTCCGATGGGCGCTCTCTTGTCGTACCTATACGTTTGCCCAGCTGCACCTTTCCTCCTAGTCGATTCCGTCGCCATTTCATACCTGCCGCTTTGCTTTCCCATAGGCCGTTCAGTCGCAAAAGCCAATTGGCTATTTCCAGAGCAGCTTGTTAGCTCCCACCTTTTCTTCATGCAGCCATTGGTCTGTTCGAACATGGCACCCGCTTAACGATTTCTCGTGGACTAATAGGAAAACTGATAAGAAAGGAGAGGCAAGGAACTGTGTTGCGCTAAGTTTCCTGGGATTTGTAGTTTTGAGGCGACGTTTATGTGATCAGAAAAAATACCGAGCTTGGAATCGGTATAGGTAGCTGTTGCGGTTTTTAATGAGAGGTGGACATTTGCGATGACAGGACTCACGTTAAAGTTTTATATGCTGAATTTAAGTCACTAGAAATATTTGGGACATAGGAGCACCCTATCCCCAAAGTTAGGATATAGGACTTGTATTGCCCACAAACCATTACAAATGTTATGGAGCAATATCTAGTTGAAATTAAGAATTGCCCCATTCCTTTTGACATTTCAGAAGTTACTTAAGACTTAATAAATAAACTTAATTGACTTGTTGGGCTTTTGTTATTTTACTTGAATAATTTTGTCTATTGCTTAGTATATTTTACTGTATACTAATTCTGTATATTTTACTGTATACTGTATACCGGAGAACCAGTAGCAGAAATTTTGAGTAGTTCGGAGAACTAGCAAATACCACCTCTGACTGGAGATTTTATAGTATCCTTCCCCTGTCATGCCCACCAAGCCACATCCACAGAACCGGTAGTAAAAAAAAATTGAATCCCACCACTGCACAGATCATATTTCAATCTGTAGAACATACTTCATATAGAATGAAAGACCTGCAAATCCAGCTGAAAGTTTAAAACAATGCAAAAAATGTGGCAGAAGAATTATCGAGATCAGGTAACTTTTTAATATGCCATAGTGAACATTATTTTGATAAGAGCAGAGTGTGACAAAAATTATGACATTCTGGGTAAATAAATGGAAGATTAGAAGTATGGGATTTTTAATAAACACGAGTTTATAGTGAAGGGATTGGAGCATAAACAGAGTGTAATACAGTGTAATCTTTGATTTCCTTGCTGAACTGAGATGAGCTCCATTGTTAACTTGTGCTGAGCTGGGAGATGAGCCAACTGCAGAGACAAAAATTTCTAGGTTAACTGCCAACCTTAGCCTAACAAAGTAACTACTTGAGAAATGCAGAATGCATCTATCTGCTTGCTGTAACTAACTTAGAATGTGTTCTTCCCAGTAATTTAAAATGTAAGAAACGAAGCTTTGGCTAAAATGTATTTCTTTCCAATCCATCTAAGTAAGGTTCCTTTGTTTGTAGAAGTGCTGAGAAAATTTCATGAGCTTTGCTTGATATGAAATGTTTCTATAGCAATGACGGTCTTTGTTAGCTGTGTAATCTATAAAAGTTCAAGAAAAAGTTTTTGGGCACACCTACTTTTCTCTCTCTGCCTTGTGTTTAAGGTGGGAGACTGAAAGGTTGCCCAATTTTTGCTTTCTGATCAGAAAATAAAGCTGATTATCAGTAGCCTCGTGTTCAGAGTTTCATTGTATTTATTAGATTCTGAGCTGCACTCAAAAAAACTTTACAATAGTATGGTGTTTGAATAATTAGCAATGTAACCTTTTTAGAAATTTAAAAGGAAAAATTGAAAGGTGAAAATGGAAATGTAGAAAAATTAAATACGTGCAGTTTAACACTTTTTCTTTATCAAATGCATTAATTTATAAAATGTTTTAATTTTTTAAAATGGAATTACAAACTGTTGAACCCCAAGGATGTAACATCTCATGTTTACCTGCTTTGGAAGAATATGGGGAGGAAAACAAAACAAAATCATCAACTCTGTAGTAAAACAAAGAAAAATATACAGTATATTTTAGATTTTTCCACCAATACCTCAAGCACTACTTTTCAGAATAAAGCTGGACATGTTTTGCATTGATTTGCCCAGTTTGTCATTAGCAACTTCTATTTTGATTCTGATAATTTTCGGGGACTCCGTAAACCAAAACTTGGTTTGAGTACCATATTTGCCTTTTACAAAATTATTTCTAGACCATTTTTCACATCTTGAACATTTTACATTATTTAAAAATAATATATTAGGAAATTTTCATAATTTTTAAATTTTTCAGAGAAAAAAATAAAATTATTTAAAGAAAAAAATATGGGTTATGTTTCCATGTCTTTGATGAGGCCAGAAGTAAATCTCAACAAGAAGTAAATTGTAGACTAGGCAGCAATTTAGCACCATGTTTACATTATTTCACTTTGCATCTTTTTAAAAACTGCTGAAGAACATTGAACATTCCGTTTGAGAATCATTTTTAACTGACAGTACAAGAAGTCATTTTGAGAAATCAAACTTCCACAGGCATGTCTGCCTTCTTAGCAGATGGTAATTTCATACTGATAATTGTTTTGAGTTTTTGGTATGTTAATTAATGACTAGCATTTCTGTCTGGCTTTTGGGGGAAGGAGTATCTTAAATTTGCCAGAATAGATTTTTTAAAATTCCTGTAAAAATTTCAGACATTTTTTTCTGCTGCCAAAATTAACACTGGAGTTAGATAACCAATATAAATAAATAAACTTCTACTTATCTACCTTCCTCCCAACTATACTGATACTTCAATTAATTTTCCTAATATATATTTTGAGAATCAATAAAGACCATACAATCCTACAGTCCGTAAAATATTTCAGGTGTCAAATTGCTTCCATAATGTAGCACTTTGATTTTCAGAAACAGGAATGATAAAGCTGGACTCCAGAGCATGATTGAGAATTAATTACTGGCTTAATTTAAGCTTCTGACCATAAGACCTAATCCCCTTGTAGATCATTTTCCAGCTTCATGGGTGTGGATTCTGGCTGGCTTATCAGATGCCCCTATGGATTGAAATGATGAAGTGAAGGCAATGCTAAAACAGAAAATAGTTATAGACTCTCTGCAAATGTAACCATTGAAAACTGGATGTACAAACCCCAGACATATTGAGTATCCCTTATAGCCGGAGTCCTCAGCCCCCAACCCTGTCTATGGAGTGGCAGCAGTGCATGGTATGCCAG